TATATATATATATTAGGGGCGCAACAATATATGCACCCGTATCGAACCGTATGGAACACTGCTTTAGGTTCAATACACACTATGTATGGAACAATACAGATTTTTAAAAATTATTTTATCAACTTGTCTTCTGAAGATCCTCTGTTTTAAAGGATCAGTGGATCTGTGTTTGACTACTCTACCTAGGCTGCATTTTTGAGCACAGATCCACTGAGAAACTTGCTGTTTCAGCAACATTTCATTTAAAAACTGGACTTTTGAGGTTAAACAAATGTTCATAATTAATTTAAATAAATTACAAGTTAACAGGGGCATGGACATTTCTCTTTTTTGTATCGAAAATATATTGAACCGTGAGACTAAAGTATCGAATCAAATCGAATCATGAATTTTCTGTATCGTTGCACCTCTAATTCATATATGTTCTGAATGGGTTTCTTTTTGATTTGTTTCAGATATAAAACACGTCACCAGCATCAGATTGTCGGCGTTTGTCAACTCAATGTCACTGAAAGGTTGATGAGGTGAAAAACTGAAACTATCTGGACTTGTTGCTTTTTATCTTGTTTTTGCATCACTTGTCATTGAAGCATGAAACACACAAAGTTTCATTGTTTAAAACGCGCTGCATTGAACTCAACTGACAAYTAACTCAACTGACAAAGAACTAAAAACATTTTCTGTGTTTGAAACTACACATCTTATCTCCCCTTGTTTGTATTGTAAATGTCACACGCCTTTGCACATTTCTGTCCTCTGTAAACCGTGACAGCACAACACAAACCGCAGTGCACAACGTTGCTGCACAGAAAATAACCRCACTCGTGTTTAAACAGGCATCTGAAGGCGTGTGGGAGATGCTTTCTCTGGTTCTGCAAAGGCCAATTCAAACCTCTGTCAAACTTTACAGCAGCCAAATCTGCTGCCGGCCCTGAAGGAAGTATCAGATGGTGGTCGCATCGTCCTCACAACGTGTATGGAAACGTTTGAAACCACAAGTGTCTCGTACAGAAATAACTCAGCCTGCTCTGCAGCGTGCATGCACAGGACCTCGGCGAGCTGTTGCACCTGATCTTTCTTTACTAAAGGTCACTACACCACCAGCTCATGGTTGTGGAGAGCGTTGGTCCTCGCCTGCAGTTATTTTTATAACCGAGACATAAATATTTCAAGTCTCGCAACCCTCGGTGCCAACAAAATGCTAAATGTCATTTAAGCATTTGRAGCTCCGCGCTACAGCATAAAATCAATGCAGTTTATTAGACATAAACATGCCACAGCATACCTCTTTGGGGGCCTCAGCTTCAATAAAAACTGAATAAATATATTTGGCTTTGGACAGCATCTTTGTTTCAGAATCAATGGTCTTGTATTCCTCACAGGCCAACCAGAACTCAATGTTTTCCTCACTGAACTCCGTCCTGAGGAACTGAGAGAAGGTTTCCACCCCGTCTGAGGACAAAAACAGAACAGAAGACACAATGGAAACAGTTACTTTAACACATACGAGAGAATTAGAGTGGCACCCCATTTCTTTAACATTAGAATTCAGTGAAAGTTACAAAGTAACTAAAGAAATTGCAGTGTGAATGCTTCTTGCTGAAAACTTAAGATGAAAGCTGCTGAAACTGAGCTGAACAAAGTTTTAATGCAAGTTTAATTTGCAAACCCAACCCCTGAGCAAAAAAACCCTAATTTAGCAAAAAATAAACAAATAAACAAATAAAT